ATGAAGCTATACCTAGCCCAAATAATTCTGTACAAACAGAGCCTACCTTTGTAATATACCCTTCTCGTTCTAGCTTAAACTGGATTTCTTCTTCATTGAAGCCACACTCTTTAAGGGTCTGGACATACTGTTCATAATTCTGTAATGATTGGTAATCTTTTAAACTCATCGCACCAGTTTTATCAGGACAAAATGGTTTGTACGATGAAGAGGATTGAAATGACTTTTTTCTGTTCAACTCACTAACAGAAGATAAAAAAATTAACAGAACTTATTAAAATGTAGGACAACCCACCATTCCATGGTCCGCTACCCCACTCCTGAGTCTTAAAAATTGCTAACAGTGTGAAATCAATAGTCATCTCTCTAAATGCTCTGACGAGGGCTAGCGCTCGAAACGTCTGCTTTGACACTCTTTACCGTGGCCAATTTACATTAACAACTAAGTCGATAAATTCAAATTGTCTTTTTTAGCTCCCCACTGATACAGCACCACAGTTTCTTTAGAAACTTACCCCTTTCATTCATATCTCTAAAAACAAGTTTGGTCCAGGCTATGGGTAGCCAAAAGCCGTGATTGGAATATTGTTTTTTTTGTCCATATTTTTTTCCAGACCTTGATGTTTTTGTGTGGCTTACACAAAGTGTGTTGCCACATTATGACAGGATCGAATTTATTTTAATTACTATAAGTGTAACGGAACACCTGGAACAAGCTACACCGCTGAGAAAGACATGTGCATTATACATTCCTTTGTGTGAATATGAGTTGTGAATTTGATGACCTTGCCTCTCTGTTACTAAAAAACACTCAGTCTACAATCTAGCAATGAACACACAGGGGTTTCATTAAGGGCCTGGGCACCAGGCAAATTGACCAGTTGTGAGTACGGTTTTGCCCACCTGGTTTAACGATCTGGAGGAAAGTTTATCTTATAAAGAAGTTCAGTAAAAAAAGTTTCGCCTGCCTGTAAAAACCAGTTGCCCTCCTGCTTAAACGTTAATGAAACCCCTGAACATAACTAGCTCACTGGCATGGAATACCATAATATTTTTCACTTCATGGCATTCTTCATGATAATTTCTCGCCAATGTTCACATTATGGATTATAACTGTTACGAAGTACAGTGCTGTTGTTTTTGTTTCTGTTGTTGTTGTTGCTGTTGTTATTGTTTACCTTTCCAGAGTAATGTTGGTTTCCAACTGATTCTTCACCATACCCCTCAAGTGCTGATCAGCTTCAGACTCAGTTCCAGTCCCTGGGACTCCAAGACGTTGATCCTCAAATGGTTTGGAGTCATTTCTGTTCATACGAATAACTCCACGACTCTGGTAACGGGAAGGATTTCCACTGATACAAAACAAAACAGATACGCTACTTCAAGATCTTTAGATAACCTTTTTCTTTCCTTTTCAAAATAATAATAATGTAATAATACTTTATTTACCCACGTATCACCTAAGAGCTAACAGCTCATTTAAAACATGAACGTGAAACTAATTACAAATAATGAGTTAATAAGAACTAATATCAAAAGATAAAAATATTGAAAAGCTATTATTATTATCTAATTTGTATGTACTATCTAATTAATAACAAAAATGATGGTCAGGGCCGGATTTTTCGAAGCTGGGTTGAGTTAACCCAAGGTTAGTGTGAAATTTGATCTCATATCTGAAAATTTTAATAGCAAATTCAGTTTGATTCTATTTGTCTACAATTCAATGATTGAATACTCTAAAGAGAACTGGGCAAATTATCCCAAGATGGCTTTCAATTGGAGAAATATTGAAACCTGGATTTAAATATAACCCTGGGTTACCACTCATCAGCCTTCAAACAACTGGGCCCTGATCATATAAAAAAACATCCATGTTTGGCTCCAAATAATACTCTACTGCAGTTTTTTTACATTAGCACTCTCCTTAGAAAAATGGTAGATTCCGTCTCTGATTGCTTCTTCAGAAGATGATTTTAGTGAAAATATCCATAAAAGGAAGACTTGATGATCCAATGATAAAACAATTATTGAACTCGACTACTGTGAAACATCGTGAATTATCAGTATCTCGTAGCTCACCACTATTAAATTATAACATTTTGCCACCTTGACCTCATTAAATAACTGTTGCATAATCAGCAATTCATTTGAGCTATTGTTAATTCTATTCATTCCGCCACTATTCGCATCTTGTCACAATATGAATATTTGTTACTTAGCGTACATCGCCCTACCTGTAATATATGCAAAATGCTACCAAGTATATAAACTCGTGAATTTAGTGATCTACATAATTATGATTATTATTTTGATCACTGTGTGTATGAATAAAAAAACTATTTGCAGAACCAAGTAGTTAACAATAACATTTAGTGATGATGTATATGACTTATATGAGTTCACTAACTCTGGTAACGGCCGTGATCAGAAGTACAGAGTGAAACCAACGGAATCAGAAACTCATCATCTAGCGAAATATAAATTGTAACAGTTTTACTACATTTGGAAGGCCTGAGGTCTGACACTTTTCCCCCTGATTTTGCTGGCAACCCCTTCAATGTAGTTTTCACTCTATCATATGACCATTACAGTCATAAGAAGTAGTATACAAAAATGGAATCATTCCGATTCTTTTGATGCTGATTACTCCAATTTTTATTTGTAAAACACTCTTCACTTACCATGGAATTCCAGTCTGTTCATATGAAGTTGGATCTGGCTTAAATGGTTTTCCACTGACTATTAGTAAAAATAAGACACATTTAAGTTTATAACATAATAAACATATTACACATCCTCTGATTGGTCAATTCAATTTCCAAGCACATACTTTATCAGTTTATAAGACCCGTAATGTAACTAGTTATGTTATAGAGGCAAGAGAACGCATTTTTTCTGGGCTCTATAACATAATAGAGCCACTTGGGAAGTTGGGAGGACAGTCAGAGAGCAGTTGTTTAGAAGCAAATGTTGTTTTACAAAAGATATTATTTGGCAAGGTTTCTGTACAACCTCATAGGTCATTATGCATACAATTCTTGGATAAAAGGAAGCAGAGGCAAAACAGCAGATTACCTTTGGGGTTACAGCTTTGTTTTTGATTGGTATGGGGTTGCATGGAAATCTTTTCTCTTATTTTTCAGCCACGATTTGGGAAAATCAAATAAGTGCTTGTGATAGAAAAATTGGACACTGGGGGAATTTAAAAATTGAGCATCAAGGCTGATCAGATCCGATGTTCTATTCTTCACGAGCTGATCTGATGTCAATAAGATCAGTAATCAAAGTTTTACGATGTCTTTACGATGGGCATGGTTACCCATATTGCCCGAGCCAGAGGCTCATGTATGAAACGCGAGACAACAACCCACCCATCCCACCCCAGGGGAGGACATCCATCACACAGTAATCTCGTGCGTGGTAATTAACGTCTTTTATCCCTAACCCTGCAGGAGACCGAACCTCCATTAATTCGTCCCTATGCGAGAAGACTAGAATATCTAAACCATTTCTTGATGTTATAGAAAGGCAGCATAGTCTTCTCAATTATTTCAAGAACTTGAGTGTTGGTCCAGCCGGGGCTCAAACCCTCGACCTCCCGCACATCAGTCCAGCGCTCTATCCATTGAGCTAACCTGCGCGGAAAATTCTTCCCAAAGCATGCACACCTTGTCATCGTAAACGAAGACCTAGAAAACCTAGAAAACAACCTAGATCCTAAATGAAGACCTAGAAAATGTCTTCAACTGGCTACAAGCGAACAAACTCGTGTTGAACATGACTAAACCTGAATTCATGCTAATAGGGTCGAGGCAGAGACTGAATACTCTCACAGCTTCACCAACAATTAGAATGGACAATACTCAAGTGAGCAAGGTTACAGCTACAAAATCGCTTGGTGTAATAATAGATAATAAACTCGATTGGCATAGTCACATCGAAAACTAACAAAAAAGATCGCCTCTGGTATCGGGGCCCTAAAGCGAATTAGGCACCTGATCCCAGCATCAACCGCGTTGATCAGCAATGCTTTATGGATTTCCTGCTGGTGTGCAAGATTTTTCCACCCTAAAAACTTGAGTAGCTCAGTTGCATCAGCATCATAGTTAGAGAATGTCAACACAAGGGCTGCTCTACTCTGCAATTTCTGCAGTTTGTCTCGTAGCGTTTTCCCACAGCTACCCCAAACAATGTCACAGTAATCAAAGTGAGGTTTTACTAAAGCTTGGTAAATGAGATGTAAGGTTGATTGCTGATCATCGATACTCTGCCATTGGTCGCCACCTGAGAGATGCCCATGGGAACATTGACTTACTCAATGAGAGCCAGTTTAGAATGCTTAAAAAATGCGGCACGAAATGGGATTGTCTTGTTTATGAAATGTTGTACATAAGAACAATAAGGCCCAATTTAAACACCCAGAGCGATTCCATTAGGGCTAAACTCTTTGTTTGACTTTTAACGTTTTGTAATTTATTCACCGCTTCATTATATATATGCTCGATTTTATTATTTTAGTTTACTTGATAATGACGTTCTGGAAACGTCGAAACGTCGTGTCATGCTTTATAATATTTTATCGCAGTTTTTCATTGTCAAATGTTTTACCAAATCTTTACTTATAAAAATAAATAAAATAGGGGTAATAATAAACTACTACACTTTGGTATATCGCTACTAGTAATACATTTCAAATTACCTGAAACTAAGTAGGCACAGAAATAAGCGGCAACTGAGGACAAGAAATAAATCATTTCTTGATCTTACCTGATCCTCCAACCATCTTGCAATTGTCTGAAAAATTACCCTTGAACTTAAATGGATCGTTTGGGTTTAAACTTGTCAAATATGAAAAAGTATGTAACCCGCTTCATTAATCGACAACAAGACGGCCATCTTGAAAAAGTAATTGCGGAGATCTGGACATGAATATGTTACGCCCTAAGGCCTTCGGGATGGATACTTTAGCGATTAAGAACTCTGGGATTGTTATGGCGGCTATGCTGATCGGTCGTGGGTTTTTGCCTGAGAGGCTTTCCCACCATCTTCCTAAGGTATACGTATCGTGGATCAGAATGTTAAGTTCTGACAATGGTGACAATGGAGAGAAACCAAAGACATCAGTGGAACCTTCTCACTCTGATTTACTAGGTAGACACAAGGGGAAAAGTGAAATCGCAGGCCTTGTCGAGCAGGCAGTGAAAGATGAGAGTGAAAATGAAATCAGAAATCAGGGTGAAGAAAAAGAAGCGAAAGAAAGTTCATTTTTAGAGGTTCTTCTTCCCAAATTGTTACAAACTGGCAAAGCTCCGAGAAAAAGAAAGAATAGGAATGAAAACAAACAAGTTAAAGAGGGAAACATTCCTGCTAGTGGTATCCTTTCCTTCATGACGGAATACCCGCAACAGTATACAGGGTACGAAAGTTTGAAGGTTCTTGAAGAGAGGTCATCAGAGAATGTTACTGAGCTGAGAAAAAGTCTTATGAGGCATAAAATGAAGGCCCAATTTCCAACAAGGAAAGGAGAAAGACCACAGTGGATAGAAAAGAGCCTCGAGGACTTCGAAAAGGCACGGACCAAGCACTCTACTGCACAGGCACAAACAACTGATCCCAAACTGAACCAGAAAATCAAACAGATACTCGCAGGACTACAGGTTGGAACTCAAAAAAGTGGATCAGCTGAGAAGCTTGTTACAGCTGTGGAATACTGGGGTAAAACCATCAATAGACGAAAGAGATTGATTCAAGAGGAATACTTACAGCAAACCGTGCAGACTTTGTCAGAGACACCGAGCTGGATGTCATTTGATGAGAGCGACAAGACTGGGCTCTTTGATGACATCCTAAAAGAGGTGAAACACAGACAAGAGCACCAGGTCTCTGAATCAGAATTCTTGTTCCATCTTACTGTCAGAAATAGGTTCCAGAACCGAGACTCAGGGGGATTGTTGAGGAATGCATTCAGTGACCAAATGAAGGTTTCCAACAGGCTCTGGACATACCCAGTAGACAATGAAGTGTGTAACTCTCAAGAAGAACAGAATACCAGTTTTGAAGAGCATGTATTTCTGGAGTACTTACTGGATGACTTTCCAAGTAAAGGTCCAGTTCGCCGTTTCATGGAATTGGTCATCAATGGTTTACAGAAAAATCCATTTCTGAGTGTGGCACAGAAAAAGGAAAGAGTTGGATGGTTTCGTGACTATTTTGCTAATTTTTCTGAAGAGGAACTTAATTTTTGAGAGTTGAATGTCAATGTAACCTCTCTTTTCTAAGCAAGTAGTATACAAATTACCTTTGAAAAAACTAATTTGTAAAGCCCTGTTTCAAAAATTAAAAACTTATCAATTGATACTGTTTATGGCCTTTTATTACTAGTGTTATAGGCATCTAATAATTGTTATTGATCACATAGTACACTTTTTGAAAAAAAAAGGGTACTAAAGTGTACTTTAAGATGTAAAGAGGTGCACTTTGAATAGCTTTCCAGGCTCAGATCCATTTTATTCCTTTTCCAGAAAATAAAGAAACCAGAGCAAGGCTGTGGTCTAGCAGCACCCAGTGGCCCCTGACTTTTGCTCTTGGACGACTCAGGAATTTTAGTTTTTTCATACAAAGCATATGCCGGGCACCCTGGAGTTCACAGTTTCAGCACTGGGGTCCATTCAATTTCCTAAGAGCACAGCCTTACAGAGTTCTTGCTATCACCTGTAATAACCTCTCAACTGATATTTTTTCTTGTGCTTTCTGCTCTGTACACTAATACCACAAAACAGAAAATTGAGTTATTTCCACAAAAGAGAGAAACAAAAAATGAATATATCATGAAGGTTCATTTAATACATTTAATGTAAATGCAATCAAGACATTTTCCTTCTGGAAAGTTACACTAATTGTACATCAAAACTAATAGATTTACATCAAGTTGGGCTTCTCTCTAGCAAAGTTTTTGCCCGAAAAAAAAAAAAAAAAACATGAAAATTTCTAGTTGAAAAAAAAAAAGACATTGAAAAGGTTAGAGATAAAGATTAACATAATGATTTAATAATTGATTAAAACAGAAAAAAAATTCTTAAAACTTGATTGTCAACCCATCTCATCCAGTCTCCTACACAACTACTTAGGAAAATCATCTTGCAAGGACCAAAATCTTTAGTTTTGTATGAGATGCTAGGGCAAAAAATCAAAATTACTTTACATTTAAAATATTTAATGTTTGACAAGTCTTGTTGGTCAGTTCCAACTAATAATAAACATACTAAATCACTGATCTTTACAATTTTTTTTTTTATATGGACAAAATCCAACATGAAGGATAAATAAATAAGACCTGTTCTGTAGAATTTGCCAACTGTACATCACGATTTTTTGTTTTGTTGTAGAACTGTCTAGCTTCATTTTCATTAACATGTTATCTAGTACTCTCTGATATCTTGGGTGAAGTAGCAAGATTCTCAATAATGACTGGCAGGTGGCAAAGCTTTTCCTTGATTGGTTCTGGTAATCTGTCTGCATGACTGTACCTGAAACAATAAATAATAGCTTCTTACTTCAATACAAAGGAAGACTAACGAGAAAAACACCTACTGTCTACATTTACCATATCTTTTATAAACAGACCAAAATCACTATATAATTTTATATACCAATATGGAATACAAGCGTAACACTTATATAACTTACTAGGTCTGCCCTAAAAATCAGTAAATAGAAACTTGTTATATTACTCGGGCAATGAAAGATGTACAATGCCACAAGCTGATTGGAAAAGTGTTAAAGTTCCCTATAAACACTCCTGAATAAGGTAATAGGCCATTTTACAGTTGTGTACTTAGTTGCCAAGCCTTTGATTCAGAGAGAGGCTAAAGATGACCTTGTTGTGATAGAGACCTGTATCTAGTTAGCATGATAACAAAGTGATTTACATTTGAAAGGCAGCAAGGTTTGTATCATAATAAGGTCATCTCTAGCCTCACTCCCATTCAAAGGCTTGGCAACCAAGCACACAACTGTAAAATGGACTATTATGTAAAACCACTAAATAAAAGAAGGTTCATACATTTGAATGACACCATTTATATATTTCGTTTTTTCTTTTCTTTTTTTTCTTTTCTTGCACTCTAGGAAAGATTTTATGGAAGAAAATGGTTTGCTTTTGAATCAGTTACATGCAAACAAGAATTAATACTAATTATGAGAAAATTATTTGCTTCATCTTTCATGAGTTCAATTGTTCAATGTAATTCCTGCAATAACCCCAAGGTTAACCTCAACTTTCAGCTGTAGGAAGCTGGCACAATCCAGAAGCTACTTCTTAAAATTCCATGATAACCAATACAAATAAATAATTATTACCTTGTTATTGTTCCATTACTATCTGTGTATTTGATACTTGTTACAGATGACTGAATGATCATTTGGGAACCATCATTATACTGCACCCAAACTTCCCCACTGGATAACTAAAACAATTAAAAGGAACGATTGTCTCCTTGTGATTTCCCTTTGTTTTGATAATTGTAATCACTTTGCTTTTGGTTATATGACAGTCAAGAAGCACTTTGGGCGATAACATAATATTACTTGCTCAGATTTGCAGTGATAGAGAAGTGCAAACTGTGATTGGTCAAAGCCTGTTCTAAGCCCTAAGTCATTCAGCAGCAAGAATATGAGCACCAGTCAAACAAGGAAAAAAAGGTAGAAAGCCAAGAAAAGTTTCCCTCCTTGCCTCAGTTTTTCACCTTCTAATGTTTTCATTTGCTATTTGATTAATAACCACAAGGTATTCCAAGCTTGTCTCATAAATCAAAACATGCAATCACAGTGATTACCGGTATAATACTATTGCACATTGATTTAAAAATTGCCACCAGATGATTTCTTAGATTTCCAAATTGTTTAAAATGTGTCCACCTGTGCAACCAAGTAGCGTTCAACTCACCTGTGATGCCCAGCCAACTCCTTGAACAAATACACTTTTGATGACTTGTGATGTCGAGTCCTGCCTCAACACTTGCTTGTCTATCAGCTCACTTTGTTGGTTTCTTGCTTCTTGTCCACACTGAGATTTGGAGACCCTCTGTGATTCACTCACACAAGGTACTGTTCTGTTGTCAACTTTTGTATTACACCCAGCTGTAGAGTGTCTTGAATTATTGATGACACTGGCAATGGTGCCATCAAATGACATCAGAGATGTGGACACTGGTGCGATGGTGCTAGGAGATGTCACAGCAGCATTTTCAATGGAATCGGGAGGTCTGAGAAAGAATAAAAATTAAATAAATAATTTTCAGAAAGATTTTGTGCAATTTGGTCTTTGGTCACTAATTTGAACATAACTGAGAACAGAATTGTATCAATTTTTTAATTCTATTTTGGGTTAAGCATTGCATTTAGTGGTTTCTCAATGCATCTCATAAGTAAATGCATTTATGTCCTAGGTATTTATTTTCAAATGTAATCCAAAATTACAGCAGTTTGATGGTGTTTTACTTTATTTGCTCTTGAAATTATTTATTACTCAAAATACAATGAAATCCAAATTAACAATAAAATCAATCAATCACCTGTATTGTTCTTACCTAGTAGAATTGTGATCTTCAGAATGAACATCACTCTCCTTTGGTGGCTTTCTGGACGCTGGTGGCCTACGGCACACAATGAAGGGAAAGTATTGTCCCTCATTGCTGTCCAACTCTTCTTTGCTCATCACTCTCTCTAAATGAACACATTGCTGATAACATTTCTGAGCATGTTCCAACAGTGGTTTCATCTCCTGTGTAGCACCTTCCGCACCACCCACAGACTCTAAAGTGTATGATACTCCTCCAGGCTCTATGATCCGAGTGCATTGATGAGATTGGTGGATTTTGGCCCCTGTGTAACAGTAATGGCACATTTAGCATCAAGTAGTCATGTCTTCAATTTTATTAAACTGAAGTGAACAGAGGTGAGGATAAATGGAGAACTCTACCTTAAAAATTAAACCCTAGATAATACTGGCCACAAAAAGGACTTGGAACTAACTGAACATAGTACATTTAATACCTTGCCACCACGCTTAATTAACCTGAGTATGAAAAACTATTATACACAACCAATTAAATGATACTGTCATATAATAAATCACTCTTGGTGCCCAAGTCTCAGTTTTATGTGGGAGAGGTAGACAATGTTCAACATGCATAAGAGTTCACCTGCATTTAGAAGGTTAATTGTTAAAACATTTAATACATTTTCCACAATCCTTTAGTGACACACACAGACCTGGAAAAAGCTCCTAACTATGTACCATCCAGCCATGAGTTAGACCCTTTACACTTTAATTTCCCTTACAAAACTTAACATTGATTTCAGAGCTCTCACTCTGGCTGAAACCTGGGTGGTCAGTTCACTATACAGGTGAGTGTTGTGGGTAACGATTTTTGAATTTCAATTTTAGCACATTCAAGGAGTTCTACACCCTTTTCTTTTTTTTTTTTTTTGGCTCTTACACAGAACTTGCCCTTGTTACTTCTTAAAAAATACACCCAGGAACCTCATTAGCAGCATTATTTTTCTCTCACAACTTTAATTTACTACACTTACCATTATAAAAGCAGACCTCAAAGTCTGGATGAGGAGAATTTTCCATCAACATGCACTTCGCATGTTTGGAGTACATAGTAACCTAAAAGATCAGAGCTGTAAAGTGTCACTGAGCAATTCTAAGACATAAAGTGTATAGAAAAATTAATATGTTTAACTGCCCCCTTCCCTTCCCCTGACCAATCCTTGCTATGTTTCAAAACCTATGCGCTGATTGCACTAGAAGCTTGAGGTAACAGTGCACAGTCTTATAGACCTAGTGATCCAAAATATCACCGGGACCTGACCATCCAACCTCCAAGAGTGACTAAGCAACCAAAATGTTTTCTTCTTACGTTATCATTACTGAATAAAAATCAAGGTCATGAGGATGAAAGAAATAATTCCCAACCTTTTTTTTCAGATTTCATTCACAGCTTGATTTTATTAATCAATTGAAAACTTCAGGGAGAATTGTCAGGCACTGTGACAGTTTTTTTAAGTGTTCATCCCCAGAGGGTTTACAACACAGTAGTGGTAGCCAAGGTGTGGACTCGGACTTTTTCACCAGCAACAAACTTTTACTGATTACTACCACCCTTCTTTAGGTGTTCATTATATACTTCAAACAACCTTTATGAAGAAAATTTTGCTTCCTACAAACCTTTGGTGTCTTTTTGCGCACAAGATGGACAAAGTTAGTGGCATACTGGTACTTTTTCCAATATTTTGAAGGTAAATTGGAGAACAAGTATGAACTCAATGACTCACACCCAGTGGGAGGAAATGGAGGTTGTAGGGACAGCCGTACACCTGTCTTGCCATTGGGTTGGTACACACATATCTTCATCCCATTTTGGGATACTCGAATCACCTCAAATACTTTGTCTTCACCATGCTTATGATGAAAGAACTCCAGACATACTTCGCCATTGTCAGTGATGCTCACAACAGCATTTCCTTTCTTCTGTCTGATTGGCCTAAGCCTCTCTGAATTTAAAGGTTCTACAATGTCTCCCAAGGACTTAGCTCGTGATGTTACTGATTTAGATCTGTGGTTTCTCTTATGTTGTTCAGCAGCTGTTTGGGTTGCAGATGTCCCACTTGAGCGATCTTGTACATGGGAAAAGTCTAAACCTGAATCTTTTGTGACACTGTCACTTCCTTTTCGCTGATGTTGAAAATACTTGTCCTTTTGAACAGTGTCCACGTGACTTGAAGAACTGACATTGGAAGAGGACCTTTTTAACAAACTATGGTTGCTAACATCAGAGGTTCTAGATTGGTGAGCCTTTTCCTGATGACCAATGTCTTTTTCATTGCTGCTGAACCCACTGCTGCTTGTGTTTGTCCCATAAGCTGCACTTTTGAGAAAGTCACCAAGGGTCTGTCCATATGAGCTGCTATATTTGCTGGCATTGTAGTTCCTAGAGGAATATTCAATTTGAGCCGTGGGCTTTGAAATCAATATAATTATTCAATCAATCGATCACTTAAGTAACTGTTGTCTCACTTAAAAATGGAAGGTATAGCTATGCCTGTTTTAATATTCAGGAGTTTCCACACCTTTCCAATTAATATGTCACCCTGGCTGATAGCTGGGAAATTCCTGCAATCCAGCCATTAACCCCTATTTTAGGTACCAAGCAAAAAGTGATCGGACCAGCACTGGGGAAAAAAGAGGGCAAGGAGGTTTTGAGAAAAACTGCTTCAACAAGTAAATTTAATGTCAATTGGTTTCTTACTCTTAGCTACAAACCTGAATTTTGCTTTAAGCCTGTTTTCACCATTGCTAGTATCCAACTCCTCTTTCAATTTTTTTCTTCTGAAGGTGGAAGCAGTGATATTAGACAGCCAAGAAGGTGAGGCCGGACTCTGTTTTAGGCCTGTGGATGAGGCAGGAGCCATTTCCGTCCCGCGTATTTGGTCTGTTGTAGAACTTGTCTTCATTTCACTAGTACTTTCACTATGACTAATGAAAAACGGGTTACAATTACTATGAATGCGAAAAATAAGTTGAGTACTTTTGAGGCATTGTATCAGCTTTACCAGACACTGAGTGGCTGGAGATGATCATAAAAAGAAGGCAACCAAAAACATTGGAGGAGATCTACAATAAGAAAAGCAATTCTTTCTTTTCCCTTCAACTGCCTCACTGTCTTTTAGCTGGCTTGCTTTTTTGGATCATCACCATAACAATGGATCTGGCACAGGCCACTGAAGTAAGGGGAGGGTAGGGAGGTTGTCAACAGCACTGCCCCCAAGAGAGGCACACTGGTACCATGGTAGCACAACTGCAACAGCATATAAAGGGAGGAACGGGACATAGTCAAAAAAAGCAAACTAAGGGGTGGTTTACTGACTAGTGCTACTATTGCATGACTAATGCAACTTGGAATCCTCATTGGGGAAATCTTGGATTAGTGTCTGTGTCTGAGAAACTGCACAATCACCCCTACTCTTTCCCAACATTAACCCTAACTGTCTTGTTATCAGTTGATTGTTGTTGGGTTATGGGACTGTGCAGTTCCACAGAGACACTGACATTGATGCAAAATCTCTTACTCCACGAGCATTTCTTGTGGTCAAAATGTTTTAGTTAATAAGTGTCTATTAAAAGAGTGAATCATGATGATTAAATTAATTTAACATCACTCACATTTCATTTAATAACTCTTTTTACTCTTGTGAGTGATCAAGACAGAACTTCTCCTTACAATATCAATACAATGTCAAGCATGGGAGTAAAAGGGTTCAAAAAAATTCTGATACTGTGTATCATAGAATGCTCTCTCTACCTCGCTCTCTGTCTAACAGGTGGAGACGGGGGGTGTCTGGCATGTCGAGGCCACATATTGGACAGACAGTCATCTGATCTGTCAGCAAAAGTATCAGTACACTGATTTCCCTGTATTCCTGTGGGTTTTGTATGCTCACTGTTGTTGCGAGTGGATTTTGAGGATCTTCCCAATCCTGTAGACACTGTAGCCATTGTTCCAGTTCCACTGTCCACTGACTGTTCTACAACATGCTGAGTCAGAAAGAGGAATAAAACAAAACAATTCTCAAAATCAAATGAGGGCTCTGAAATGCAGACCCAGCTGTTCCATGGGTTGAATTTCATGAGAAATTTAATTTTTACAGTTAAATTATTTTGGGGAAAATTTTTATTAATTTTTGTGCGATGAAAACCTTTGCTATCATCAAGCAGGTTGGGAAATAGTTTTCTAGACAATTTTCTACAAGTACATACATTTTCCAAACAAATGTGATTCAACGTGTATGGAAGACTGATTAAGTCTTACTAGATTCATCATGTCATGTGTTTTGACCTTTCTTCTTTGAATAAACAACATCAATCCCCCAGTTCTGGCAGTTCAAGTGATTTCAGCAATTTGGTTCCTATGTTCCTGGTGGTACTTACTGGAGAGTTAAAATTGCTAGTTAGTTATAGAATAAACATCAAACCTTTGGTAGACACAGCTGATTATTTGAAGAAAATTTCAGCAAGCTTTCTTGTGTCATAAATGGATGATCTAAAATTCCTGTCAAAATAAAGAAACAGTTCTCATGAAGCATCAAACAATTATCCTGTACCACACTGAAATTTAACTGAAAAGTTTGAAGCATCAGTTTTCAAACTAACGGATGGACTAATTTTTATATCTCAAAATGTACTTTTTCTTTTGGTTGAAAAACTAGTAAGATCCTCCTTCATGTGCATAGATTAGCCCAATATAGTTATCTGTCTCTTACCTGATAGTGTGATCCTGTCTCCTGGGTTCTTAATGACAAAGAGGAGATTTTGATTAGAAAGAAGAACAAGAAATTCTTAAATTTAAAACTATTTACACAGCAGTTACTGAACATTAGTATCAAACAACCTTGTATGTGCCATCTGGCTTGAATCCTTGCAAAATACATTTTTATTAAAAGTTTACCTTCTTGAGTAACTGACTGATGAGATCTTTGGCCTCTGATGAAAGATCACTAAAAACAAAGGAAGAAGAAAGGTCCATGGGAACACTTGTGAAAACTATAGCACTAATTAAAGAGAGAGCCTGACAATCACTCATTGTAAGTATCTGACAACCACTCTCGTAAATGGGAATAATCTGCCATGGACTTAACTCTCCCAAAAAATATCAACTATGCAAAAATTTATTTGTTGATCCAATGCCAAATTCTCCAAACCAACATCATAAGAACTGTATGACAGCTAGATGGTACCAAGAACTGCTAAATGAAAATACATGAGATATTGGGGGTGAAAGAGTTAATACCTATCTACTTTGAGATTTATAGCTGCTATGTACTAGCTGTATTCTATGCATAGTCTTTGTTTGTCACAGCCTACTTCAGTTTTTCTTAAAAACCTGAGCTGATAGTGAATGTACAACATCTGTGTCCTCTTGTAGGGCTAATTGAGGCCGAGACACACTTGCGACAAATCGCTGCAACACGCAGCCGCGACAGGTTGCTGCAACAAATAGCCTTGTGTGACATGTAAAAAATCTTTGTCACTGCGATATGTCGCACAAATTCAAACTGGTTTGAATTCATGCGACATATTGCAGCGACATATCGACGCAATGTGTCGCAGCGATTTGTCGCACAGTGTGTCTTGGCCTTAATGCACCAATTTTACCAACCTTTACAAGAAGCTAAACGCTAATAATTAGTCACAGTGGCATGAAAACAAACTCACCATGGCAGGTCATAGTCAGCTAAGACTACTCTGTTCAGTGTGCTTTTAACAGCCTCAGTCTGAAACACAAACAAACCAAAATTAACAATAAATATGCATATTACTGACAGAATAAATCAAGAGTTTAAACAGGAGAACAATGTCTTATGGTACCCAATGGAGTCTTTATATACACTAATGGTAAAATAAAGTGCAAAACAGGATATCCCGGCAGTAAAAGGTATTCAACTCACATCAAATGGAGGACATCCAACAATCAGAGTGTAGAGCATACACCCCAGTGACCAGACATCAGACTCAAGACCATGAGGACCTCTGGTGGCTATTTCACTAGTAAAAAAAAAAGGATAAACAAGATATTTGAACTTTTCAATCTTTGTTTTCATTTTCAAAATTAACATTCACATATTTAGCTTTACCATGTCTGCAATATTGCAAAGTGAGAAAAACAGTTCAGGCGCAAAAGATGATTAAGGTGGCTAAATGTAATTTAGGCAAGGTTAAATTTCGAGCCAATGCAGTCAGTGGTCTCCTCCCTGCACAAGTGTACGTAATCTGCAGTGTGACCGCAGGGGCCTTTGCTTATCGTGCAACTTATGTTGCATCTCATGCTGGCATTTTGAGCTGATCTTTGTGGATCTATCGCTTATAGCGAATCTTTGCGGATTCTGGCTCCCAGCCCATCCCTCCCCTTTCTGTGCATTGGTAAGTATGAGGTCAGGTGAGTATTTTTCACTGAATTATTTCAGTGTGACGGAGCCAGTTGGCGGCTGCATGCAAGGGTGGTTCCCACTCGTGGGGTTGCCATGGATACCTCCTTGTTACGCCTGAAGCGTTCAGGCTCCCGTCCAACCTTTAAGGCATCAGTTCCCAAGCTCATCTATTGGTGATGAGCTTAAACCCCTCTCACTTCCAAGATCTCATCATTAATTCTCCTTTACATCTGTCAAATAATTCTTATGATGTTAGTTTGGAGAATTTTCTTTTCATCAATTAACTAATAATCCCCTAAGTGATATTTTTCTTTATTCCCATCACTCCTTTGCTTGATATTGTATTAATTAGGAGAAATTCTGTCTTGGTCAGTTATGGGATTTACAAAGTGAAAGACAACATAATTAGTAATAAACAAAAAAATTAATGATAACAAATTGTAGAATGACTCTTACGGTGAAATGTAGTTTGGTGTTCCACACATAGTATAGTGCTTTTCATTGGGCATTGTTAGTCTTGCTGCAAGGCCAAAGTCACCAATTTTCTGAGACATATAAAGGATGTCAATAAGGTCAATACAGACTTACATTTTCTGTACCCTTGAAAACACCTGGACAAAGTTCAGTAATTATTATAAGTACTCAGAAAGATGCAAGTTAGTCACTCTGCTGCCTGAAACCAGCTTTCCAATGTCATTGGTGTGGAACATTTTCTAATTGATGGCTGCCGGGCAAGAGCAAACTCTATCTCCCTTAACCGCAGCTTGGATAATTTTTCTTTCAAAATGAACAATAATCTAAGTTACACATGTCATTAATGGAGGGCAGACACTTTCAAGTAACAGCTAACTATGATGGCTCTTTGGGAGTTGCTGATGGTATTGGTTTTCACAAGAGTTTAATTATATTGAATTGTTACTATTATAATAAGTATTTCTTTAACTTATGCCTTATGATTCACTTCAAAATGGAGAAATAATTGAGTTTTTTGAGGTTTTTTGTTATCATCCCAAACCAGTATTTCACATGAAGCTACCAATCTTAAAATAAGATACTCACTGCATCCATTTCTCTAGTCAGAAGAATATTTCCAAGCGTAAGATCCCGGTGAATTATGCCATGTGTGTGAAGATACAACACTCCTTTGACGACTTGAGTCATGATGTGACGAGCTTTGGACAAATCAAGTCAATATCAGCATTATCTCATTCACTGTCAAGTTTCTCTCATTTTATTCACATTACGTATGATGCACGATCCTCGCAGTAGATAGCACTACTTAAGCAATAGCGAAAATCAGACCTGAAAAAAAATCAGGCCTGTACGGGATTCGAACCACTGACCTCTACGATACTAGTGCAGCGCTCTACCAATTGAGCTAACAAGCCAACTGGGAGCAGGCCGTTAAGTTGATTCGTAATAAACCCATGAAAGTGATAAATCAGATACAATGAAATATATGAAGTTCATATATTTTGAACTGCGGTATTAGATACGTATGATGCACGATCCTCGCAGTAGATAGCGCTATTTAAGCAATAGCGAAAATCAGACCTGAAAAAAATCAGGCCTGTACGGGATTCGAACCACTGACCTCTGCGATACTAGTGCAGCGCTCTACCAATTGAGCTAACAAGCCAACTGGGAGCAGGCCGTTAAGTTGATTCGTAATAAACCCGTGAAAGTGATAAATCAGATACAATGAAATATATGAAGTTCATATATTTTGAACTGCGGTATTAGATACGTATGATGCACGATCCTCGCAGTAGATAGCGCTATTTAAGCAATAGCGAAAATCAGACCTGAAAAAAATCAGGCCTGTACAGGATTCGGACCACTGACCGGATAATTTGACTGGAGAATTTGTTTAACACTCAAGAGCTTCTTCAGTTGATGACTGTGTCCTTTATTCACATGGCATTACTTTATGTGTGATTCAGAGGTGACATTTTAAGAGAAACTGAATAGCAGACACTCTTAGGGGTCAGGAGAGCTACCCTATTCATTAGGGGTTTCATTGCTGTTTTCAGCGGGAGAGCAACTGGTTTTCACAGGTGGGCAAAACTTTTAGAGCTGAACTTCTTTCTAAGATCAAGTTTCCTCCAGATCGTCAAACCAGGTGGGCAAAACCGTACTCACAACTGGTCAATTTGCCTGCTACCCAGGCCCTTGATGATTTAACCCCTGATTCATTCTACCTTTTAATTCTAGCTAACCAGGTATCTTTCTTTTTTTTTCTTCTTTTTTTCTTGCAATACAATAATGTCAACTCTTAAACTCTTAGAGACTGGCTAGCATCAAATTCTTCCAAGTACAATATCACCCCTAGGTCAAACGTTTAAGTGACAAAAATAAAGGAAATGATCAGCTAAAGAAGCTCTTGATTGTTAAACATATTCTTCATGTCACCACCTTAGGAAATGTACAGAGAACAGTATAGACAATATGCATACTGATGCTTGGAGGTAAAAAAAGAACAGGCAGCAGATTTTAAAATTGTACCTTCATTTTCTCCTACTGGTCTCCTTGTTTTCTTGAGATAGCGGTTGATTTCTCCATTGTGGCACATTTCCATGATTAAGTAGACATAATTTGCATCTTCAAAGTAGTTGTATAGCTGTCAATATTTAATCAAGTGTTATCATAATGATACTTTGGATCACAATGAATCATTGAATTTTGAGAGATGAAAAGGACAGCTTTTTAGAAAGTCTTGGATAATGTTTTCTTTCCCAAAAATTGGATTTACCATTAAGTGAAGTGTTCTGTAATGAAAAAAATGGAATACCCTCTAACCAACATCTGACAGGAAGAATGCAGTAGTTAGTCAAGGTTTTTAATTACGATTGTAAAAAAGAAAAAATAAGGCAAATTTAGAAAATCCTTCAAGACCTTTCTTCGTCTCATCAAAAATTTTGATCTTTAAAGAGCAATTAACAAGTTTGATCTGCACATAAGTCTACTAAAATCTCTGAGAAAAAGAGTACAGAAAAATAAAAACAGTTTTCTACCTCAACTATGGAAGGATGTTTCAGTTGACAGTGAATTTCCACTTCATTTATAACTCTTGCAACCATGCCTGATGTTTTCATGAGTTTCTTATCAATCTGTAATAAAACCGACATTGACATGATAAAAAAAACCATGTAGTAATTCAAATAGCAGTCCATCAATTCACATTAACACAGCAATAAAATAACCAGTCTCCCATCAAAACTGTTTGTTAATTTGAAGAACATCTGATGCACAGAATAAACCACCTACATGTACAGAAGACTAGAGAGTAGCCTTTGGTTGGCCAGTGTGTGAGTGAGAGTTGAAGGGCAGACAACTGAAAGTCTTCCTTGGGAATACCCACATCTTTACATGGAGATTAGTCTCTTCCAAATAGGAGACACTTTCAGACAAGAGTGTGCCTTAGCCAGTTCCAATGAAAGAACAATAAAATTTGTTCAGTTTATCTTTCAATTATATTAGAATCACTCAACACAGAGGTTTCAGTAACTTTTTCTATAAGTGGCCACTGATAGTAAATAAGCCGCTGTACTCAATAAAAGGGCCGAACACGAAAGCCTGCTTTACAGACTAAACAAATAAAGTTAAGGGGTTTCATATTGTAGGTAGTGGTATAGTGCCAGTACCTGGCTTTAATTGAAATCCCTGTTGGTAAGAAGTGTGGATTATTAATATATAAATTTGAGTCACTTTGCCTCACATCTTAGACTATTTAGCTTACTAATAGCTGAATTTTGGACACCTACATAATGTAGATTCCTAAAATATGTTTGTGTCTAAGCAGTTAGTTCATTTATTCTAATACACACCATCTTGATGGCAACCTCCTGTCCAGTGGCCAAACAAAGAGCACGATAAACACAGGCAAATCCACCTTTACCCAAAAGTTCCTGCACTTTGAAGTCCTAAAGAAAGTAATAAGCAATAAGCGTGTGTTTGATATGTTTAAAACAAGCTCACAAAAAGAAAGGCTAAACAAAGTCAACATTATTTTACAGGTAACTTTCCAGTAAAAATAGTGTAAAACACAAATCTTGCGTCTGTTATTTGTTTGATTGGAAAGTCCAATTTTGTACTGCTAGAAACAATTCAGACAGGAACTTTACACAATGAAATCCATGAAAGAAAACTCTCTTAGTTCTGTTATCCCGTTGGAAAGAGTTCCATATAACCCCAACATTAATTATGCATTCCATTTCATAAAGACTAAAATTAATATAAAGGTTTCTTTGTAACACTCTAGGCTTAATTAATGTATGGGGTTATATGGAACTCTTGCCATCCCGTCTTCCATGAAAAGTGCACATGAAAGCGTTGACTTGTCGGACTCAACTCATTTTTCACTGCACCCAAACACAGTGTGGAATAAAGTTTTAAAGTACAAAACAGGAAGTAAATGGTTGGCATTACCATTCGTAATTGTGAAGCAAATATAAAACAACTGGTCACTAGGATACACCCTGACTACAGTCTTCAAAGAACATGGAACAAAATAATAGGCCCTAGAGTAGTTTTGTGAGGTTAAAATAAGTGGTCATGTGTTGAAGTTTGACCAGATTATTTATATATTTATAACTATGTAGGTCCACCAGTGATCTAAAAGTGTAATTACCGGTACTAAGGCATACGCTGCGAGTAGCCACTCACAGAAAAAGGCTTTCCTCTCAAATTTCAGATTTCCATGATAAAGCTACATCAAATTTTTCTAAAAACTTTTGTATTGGGAGTTGAACGCTCAAGCTAATAGTAAACAAACTCATCAACTGATTAGCTCTCAAAAAGATGTACTTAATTTTGTGAAATGTTACTTATCAAAATCCAGTTATCTTCGAATCGAGCTATTTTCTTCGTTTTTTTCAATGTGCTAGAAATCAGGTGCACTCAGAAACGAATCCGAAGGAGTCACGACATCGCGTTCCTAAGATTTTGCAGTCCGCCAGATCGTGGACTATGATTATTCACAACGAAATCAGACACATGCAGAGCAAAACTTTTCAAACTAATATCACTTGATCTTAAAATCTTTCAATCAATAAAGTACAATAGAAAAGGAAAGAACTCTCAACCTAATTCTTCAATTATTCGTCATCGTAGACAAAAGATCTGGAAGTTATGCTCAGTTTTAAACTACGTTTCTCGAAATTTGTTGACTGGCTACTAGAGGCCGCGGTGAAACATCAGGTTCAGACTTTCAAGCTAGAAGGCGCAAATTCTTCTTCGCCGGTGCTCTCTCAAATGACCTAACACGCTATCATGCTATCTTTGATTTGCAATTGGTGTTACTAGTTCGCACACGTAGTAAGCGTCCAATGAAATGTGAAACCGATTAGCCATCCTTACCTCAATTGATTCCCCCATGAAACGAGAACTCATTTTTCGATCGCGTGACGTATCTCTACTTCTTCCAAGAATCGAGCGAGCGTAACACAGAAAGAAAGCTCTGGTACCACTTTTGGATAATCTTAGCTTCAATTCGTCGTTTCATGTTCACAGAGACACTTTTACTTCTGGTGTTTATAGCTCCCTTCAGAAGTAAAGTCGTTTTCCGCCATTTAACGAATCACTTTGAACGGCCCGCGCAATCACAACATGAATCACTGAAGCGAGGCTCTAGTGTCACCAACGGCCGTAATGGATTATGGTTGTAATCTGAATAGCTTCAAATCATTTATTTCAGTTCGCGCTGTGAAGAAATAAATGTGTTGGCATAATAATTTACATACAAGGTTTACATTCATTCAGCTTAGATGAAAAAAAAAAAACTTAGTAAAGCGCCAATCGAATACTAAAAACTTAATTCAACTGAGAAAATAAAACTAAGAAGTAAAATGATACGTCCCCGGGTGGGCTTGAACCACCAACCTTTCGGTTAACAGCCGAACGCGCTAACCGATTGCGCCACGGAGACATGTTACGTAACAACGGGAAAATAATAGTAATTGATTTCTTTTTCGCGCCGCAAAAGTTGAAATGTGGGTGGGGGTACAGCTCGCCTTTGTACAAGTGATTTAGTCCATCTAAATCAGTTGCATAATTAAGTTACACTTATAAGAAGGGGAAATTTATCGTCAGAGCTGTGCGAATGTGCCTTCCCCACAATCCAAGAGGCGTCCTTTCCATTCAAGATCTCCGAAATAATACTTCTTGGGCGATTTTCAAGTTTCTCATTTCAGTGGTTGCTCGCGTGTCGCGCTTGCAACCGGTGAAGAAAAAGGTGATTTAAAAAAATACAACAAATCCTGAAAGTAAAATAAAAAATTGCATTTATCGTTGCAAAAACAATTCATCAGGAGTTGATAAAAAAGAATCTTCTGAAACACTGACGTGCAATAATATATTCGTACTGATTCAAATGTAAAAATTTCGACGACCCTCAGAAATTCCTACGAAAGCGTACGGAAATCTATAAGCCTTTAGCTTCACACACAAGTTGTAAGAGAATATTTAACGGTGCATAAACCACATCTAACAGAGCAGCACCCCACGAACTTACATCTATACTTACCCTGCTTATTATGTTCTACAGTCCCGTGCCGTAAATTACAATTGTTACACAAAGATCTGCTCTTTTCCACGGATACAATGTTACTCGCCCTGTCCTTCCTCGCACTCCAGGAGAGCCCACCGTCGCGTTTCGTACACAGTAGTCTGGGGACGAGTTCAGATAAACCAACTTCTTCTCTTTCTTATTCACCAGTCTTTCTCGGTAGTTGTAGCGTTTGTGAAACTTGCTATTCACGAACGACACTTGAACGGCTGGGCGGTATTTCTTTTTCAGTTCCTGTCCAACCACCTTAAAAGGGGCAACAGGTTACAGCTTCCGGTAACGCTGTGGCATCTCTGCAAACTTTCCTGAACTTTGCACGTACAACCTGTTTTGAGCGAAGAAGAAGCATCAGGATTATTACAAATCTTTTTACTTTCTAAGAGACCCGAGGACGGACTACCAATATGGTGTTGGAAACTAAGACTTCGAACAGAAAATTCAGTAAATAATTCTTTCTGCGGCCGTCAATAGACTGTACTGCCAAGACCGTTTTTCGAGGCACTGTCATGAGTATATCATGACTAGAAGGTAGTGGTCCTTTTTTAATGGCAGCAGATATCTGAAAAGACCAGAAATTTAAGACTACCTTCCTTCCTACTTGATTATTATGCAGGTTGAACGCTGTACGAGCGTCGTTCCCTTTTTCTAGTTTGTCAATAAACCGTCCCGTCTCCTTCTCTTCAAACTTGATGTCGTCACTGCATCCTCCCCATTGCCAGTCACTGTTTCCTTTATGCTGGTTTCTTGTCTTGCCGCACCTGCATCCGGGTATTCTGTTCTGTCTGCACTGCAGGGTGAGTTCGTGAGTAATATAGCGGCTGCGCTGATGGCGTGAAGGAAAGCTGTTTCTCGGGTAGCTGCAATGGAAAATGAAACAACTTTTGGATCAGTACATCGTAAACATATCAGTGTGAATAATCTGAAAAGATTTCTGGATAGGAGTACAAGGAACCCTGACAACATTAATTCTTACGAGATACAATGAATATATGAAGATATATTTTTGAACTGCGGTATTACATATGTATGATGCACGATCCTCGCAGTAGATAGCGCTATTTGAGCAATAGCGAAAATCAGACCTGAAAAAAAAGTCAGGCCTGTACGGGACTCGAACCACTGACCTCTGCGATACTAGTGCAGCGCTCTACCAATTGAGCTAACAAGCCAACAGGTGGAGCGCTGCACTAGTATCGCAGAGGTCAGTGGTTCGAGTCCCGTACAGGCCTGATTTTTTTCAGGTCTGATTTTCGCTATTGCTTAAATAGCGCTATCTACTGCGAGGATCGTGCATCATACATTAATTCTTACACAAGTTAGTTCTGCCCGGAGACAAAAATGCGGACTTTTTAAAGCATTTTAGACTACAATATGTACAAAAATACAGCCGATAGCCTAAAACAAATATATGTGGTTCGTTTCATGCGTGTGCTCGGATAATGACATGAGTAATTATAATAAAACAGTTATATTCATCATCGAGCTCAGCAAACATTCTCCTATAGAGAACAACTTGGGGAAATTTGCACTTAATACAAGGAATCACAGAGTTACTTTGCACGCTACAAATTGCCAACAGATTTCCCCACCAATCAGAAAGCAAACTGTTTTACTTTTGAAAAATTAGGAATTGAACAGTCAAGAAAAAGTTGAAGATCGTTGATTAGCCATTTGGCAAGTGATATTATCAAATCCTTGTTGTTGTAATAATAATTCAAAATAACTGCTTTTAAAACATTCAAAACTGGGTGGCTTCAATTCAAGGAAAACGTGCGATACAAATCATAGTTAATCGAAGTAGATTATGAAAGGGAAAAAAGGTTCAAATTCAAGTAACCGTGTGGCAAAGTTCTGTTAAAAAAGATGGGTAACTTCTGAAACACATTCTTGTCGTGCAGTGAACAGTTCCAAATCTCGTTCTGACATAACTTCCGACACTTCTGTCCACGATAACCTCCCTCTTTCACAATACTTCCAGAACAAATTGTGAATGCCAGACCTGCAAAGTAACAAAACCGCTATTACTTGACGAAATATTTGGAAGTTTGTTTCTAAAGTCTTGGGTTGAATGATTTGTCATTAAATTTGTTTTTGAACTGAACTGGCCTAACTTTTTTTTTTTTTCAGGATTATGGAGAGAATAAGCATTCTCGCTTGTTACTTTAAAATTGCTGGTGTCATTTAATTTCGTGCTTCAGTTATACAAGCGCGTCGAAATTGAGACAAGCAAAGATGTAGTTTGATGGAATTAAAGCACCTGTCTGAAAATAATGTTGCAGAAATGCAACTTACTTTGTAGTTTTGCTGTGTCCCTGCTGAGAATGACCCAACACTAAAAGAGCCTCTAATAGCGCTAAAAAGAGCTTCAATGAGCGACTGTGATCCTTCACTTGTTGGGGGTTCAAAAGATGGCAAATGGTTATCAGGGAAGGCCTATTTATACCAGAAACGCTTTGTACTAATAATATGCATAAAAACGTCCATTAATTGACACGCGAACAAAAGACTGCATTAAAAGTATCCACGCGAGACTAGCTGTGATTTTTCAGTTTAATTACAAAGGTGAGATTTTTTGAACAATGAAGTGGAAAAAAAAAGTGTGACAAGAGTAAAGTTTGTTTGTATGGTTTGTATTTCAAACATGGTCCTGCTTTTAAAGGGATTCCATTCAAAAGGATAACTAAATAGCCGAGGCGCTCTTGATAACTTATTGCAGACATGACACTTTGCGTGCGCGCTTTGCTAGATAAAATTATGCGTTTTTTTTTGTTTTTTTTTTTGTTTTTCTTTTTTTTTTTTTTTGCATAGACTGCTGAAATCGCTGATTAGGGACTTAAAAAGAGGCAACCAAAAGAAACTTGCACTTTTGTGTCTAAGAACTTCATGACGAACTTTCGTGAACCATCACATGTAGCAAGCACAGGCCAGAATGTGATCTTCGGTGGAGCCTTCACATATCCTTGACACTTTATAGGAATTCGCATAAACACGCACGCTAATAAAACAAATGAGTTGAAGATTGAATTCAAAGCATCCACGGGAGACCAGAGGTTGCTTTTCGTTTTAGTAGGAGGTGTGATTTTCTTTCTCAAAAAAAAGAAAAAAAACAAAAGGCGCGAAACTTACTCTGATTTTCTAATGCAAAAGAAAGCTGATTTTCCCTACACAAGCTTTATCAAGTTTTTTCACATGCCATTTAATGTCTATTCCTTTTTCCAGGTTCGTATTCAGAAAGATAGCCTGTACGTGGCCGCAACTTTTTATCCAACTGCCAACAAAGATTCGTTTGTGCGTGGACATGTTGAATTCCTTATATTTTTTTTTTCTCTAAGTATGATATTTACATCAAAGACCATGACACCATCCACGAAGAGAAGAGATTACTAGATTGCGGAGGCGTAATTTTTCGCAACACGGAAAAATCAGTTCACTGATATTTAGAAATAAAATATAGTTAAGTTTCGCTCTGATGTAGGGCTTACGCTCCAAGTCTCAGCTTTGAAGCTCTTTACGGTGGCCAATTTGCATTATCAACTCAGTTGATAGATTAAACCTAATTATCTTGTTATTTTGATGTGATTTAGTATGTAATCATGCTTCTTCATGAATCCGGCTCAACGCTTAAAGCTAAGGCGTGGTCGCTAAGTTATCCTTCGTTTCAGACTAGGTTCTTTTGTTAGCGCACTATAAGAGGAAATATGTAATAAAGTTACTGTTTGAAAGTGCTCCAAGGATGGTCAAAAAAAAAAAAAAGAAAAAAGAAAAGGGAAAAGACCTAAACGAATTACTTGGAAACTCGTGACACGCGCAGCAAATTCATTTCCCTACCACTGCTAGAGAAATGATTATTTTACGTCTAGAGATGAGTGCCTGAGGGGGATTAACGGGGAGTGAAAACAAGTGATACCAACTTGGGAAAGACTTTCAGAATTTACTTAGACACGACCTAAGAAGACCATGCACTTTTCCCTCTAATGCTTGGAAAAATGCAGGAGAAAGAAGGATTTTACACAAATGCGAACAAAAGTTTCAGTTAATCACATGCACTCATTAGAGACAAGGTGTGATTTTCAGTTTTTATAACAGAAACAAAATAAAGAATGAGATGAAAACGAACTCCTGTTGTTTTAACCGATGGTTTATAATAAGGTGTACTGCTACACTAAAAGGCGTAGACTATGAATAGAGAAAAGTATTTTGATACCCACTCAATATTTCTTGTATCACATCGAATTTTGAGAATGATTTCAATAGAAATACAAAAACTAGCGCTTCGATGATGCCTTAAGCATCTTTATTCTCAAAATTTCGAATTATGACGAATGATCTAAGCCACCAAAACAAACTTGAAATTAATTTGTTTTTTCTTTCGTGTTACAGGAGAGCGGTGAGAGAAGGAATCCAGTCTCCCACGTTCCGCACGAGTCAGCCTCCCATTGCCTCACCAAGAAAACGCAAAATAAACAATTTAAAAATAAACATATTCCGGTGGCTAAAATAATATTAACATGTTAGCCTAACTAAAATAAACGTTTTAATTTCATGCGGATTGAGCCAGTTTCCACGTTAAGTAATGGTCAGAAGAACATCATGCACGCAAGACGGTCTAATTTCCTTCGGCATCTCCGGGGTAGCCGAAAGAAGTCGTCAGGTGAGCGGGGTTAGTTCTGTCGCACTTAGAAATATCCTTGCACCTTGTAATAAAATTGTGGCCCCTTGTAAAACTTGGTATATAGATGGTCGCAGGTCGAGTACACCCAATAACACCCATCATCCTTATCAATGAAGACAATAGTAACCAGGACAAGGGTCAACGACTCTCGCTATATGATGGTCCGCTGGGCAATAGACCCCGACAATAACGAGAGTAATTTCGTTTCGTAGTAAAAAGGGACTTTAAAACTCAAACAAAGCTCCAAAATAACGTGAAAGAATCCAGCAACTAATCCTAATATCGCCCTGAATTTTCCTGCCACAATTTTTTTTTTAATCCCCTAGCCCCCACTTCCCCCTCCCTCAAAATTCTCATATCGATCTTTGATGAAATATCCAAGCAGCGAATCACATTGCGACTTTGCGATGACGTACCTCTCCCTGTGAAAATGGAGAGAACTTCAGGATAAAACCGAAAGAAAATTGTTCTTTCGATTTGACGACGTAGAAGACCATCGAAGATTTCCTAGATATTTCAACTAGGTTCACATAGGCTCCACATCTAGCGCCGGTGTACAGAACCCCTAGGTGAATAATCGGTAGAAAAAGCCGCAGAGTAGCTAAGTCGATCGTACGCCGGCTACTAAGTTTAATCTGGCCACAGTGCTAAACTGGGTTTTCGCTGCTGGTCAGGAAAAGGAAACAAGGCACTCTTTCAGGTGAGTTTATGCATTTACGTTTTTCGATATTCGTTATTTAATTTTTCATTCAATAGTATCTCGTAATTCATGATTCCGTCTAATTTAACTGCTATGACTTGTGATTTACGATTCTGGTTTCACCCCAAATTGGCTGTACGCAGATGAGAATCGCTGGTAGTGTTCAAACGTTGATTACTAGCGATGCACGCAAAAATACCGTTTTAGCTCATTCATTCCATCTACAACGGTGTGGACTTAACGTCTTTTAATATACAACCGCTGGATGAGTAAAATTTCAATCGTGTTGATCGTTATCTCGGGTCGTGTATCATTAGCATTGCGAGCGAGTACAACTAGCAAGAATGGAGCTTTAAGGTAGCGATCATAGTTGTCACATATCGTGCGAAAAACGAGAAAAGTTTTTCATAATCCTTACCTTAGGCAGTAGAGTAAAGAGACGTTAGATCCCGCCTTTAAATTCTTGCCGGAATACAACACAGTATCATAACTCAAACAAGCTCAAATGAATCTCTAAAACAGGGATTTTGAATGTTATAGGCCCTTACATTGTTTGTATGCATCGAAACGCACTGAAAAGAGGACGAAGACGTCGAACATTTCCATGGGTGAATCATAAGAATACCAAAAATGGATGTACCCCTCGAATTCCTCAGTGAATCGTGAGAGGAAATTGGAAACTATAAAATCATACTGGCCAACAAAAAGCGATTTCGTGACTGTCATTCTCCCGAGATGCCGAAATTATGATCGAATCAGACAGTGAAAGGGCAATTGTTATTTAAGCGCGCCGTTTATTACTATAAAATTAATATTTTTATCAGTTGATTTAAATCTTTTCTTTTTTGCTTTGAACTGAAATATGCTTGTTAAATTAAGAGCGCTCTGACTTCCCAAAATAAAGCGGACAAAAAACTGAAAGAGTGATATTTACATTTGACTGCATAAATTGTGCAAATAATTGACCCAGTCATGTCCACAAAAGGCTGGACTAAAATTATTAAAGGTGTTGGATAACTTGTGAAGTCACAAATTGACTAAGAATGGTTTTATCTTAGTATTACAGACGGGGTATTTGACTCTAGTTAGCTCGTAAATAAATTTACAGAGTTGTCGAAAGCAAAACTGAGCCAAAGGGTCAGATTTCAAGGAAGAAATTTGTGCAATCGTTTTGACACATATCCTCCGAGCTCGTTGGGTGAGTCGTAAATATGCCCACTGGAAATTTTTAATTTCATTGTCAATTCCGAGTGATGGTGAAAGTCGAAGGATTTGTCAAGAACTTCGTGTTAATCAAAGATATATAATCTCCAGCGGCAAATATACACTAGACATTGATCTTAATTGGCCTTTGAAACTTAACTTGAAGCGCTAAAATTCATTTTCAACTTCAACTTTTACACGAGTAGTAATATCAAGTTTAATATACAGGTTATGCTGCTTATGATCTTAAGGGCTCTGCGAGGCGGCTAGTTTACTTTGTTGTATAAATATCATACATTTCTCGTGATCCATTATTTGGATTCGTATGATCTGATTTTTGATTTTTGATTTTTGATTTTGATAACCCACCCATTATTTTTCGCGCAGTTCTATTGGCTACTTTACTTCACGCGGTGCAAAATCACGCAACATAGCCCACCCATTGATTTTTTGTGATTCTATTGGCTACTTGGCACTAGAATCACCGGATAGTTATCACGCAATAACCCTGTCTACGTTGATATTTGTCCAACGATTATTTCCGTTGAAAAGAGACAAAGGATGCACAAAAAAGCCAGCTCAAGAGTTTACCTTTTTCATCTTATTAGTTTTACATGCAAGAAAAACGAACTCATTTTGTAGTCTAGTTATAGTGACATAAAAAGCAGATCTCAAAGTAAACCGCCTCCCGGCTAGCTCAATTGGTTAAGCGCCGGACTGTTTTGCGGGAGGTCGAGGGTTCGAGCCCCGGCCGGACCAACACTCAGGGTCTTAAAATAATTTAGAAGAATATGCTACCTTTCTATAACATCGATCAAGAAATGGCTAGATATTCTAGTCTTCTCGGATAGGGACGAATAAATGGAGGTCCCGTGTCCTGCATCTATTAATTAGTTGATTTAGTTAGGCAGGGGACGTTATAGAACCCACTTCACGAGATTACTGTGATGTGGTCTGGCCTGTTTACTG